TACAGCTACAGTTGTGTTGCTGGGTTTTAAAGCAGGTTTAATTTTTTTTTTCTTCCTTATCAGTCTGTATTTACAGCAGTTTCACTCTGTTCAAATGTGGATGAATGGCTGCACATAGATGTGTGCACACACTGTCAGAACTGTGTGAGATCACTACCATCCTGCTTTTGTGGGGGTGGGTAGGGGTGTTAAATAATTTGTTTTGTTTTGTTGTTTTCCCCATAGGTTTTTAACATTCTAAAAGCTCTTTATTCCAAATATACTACAAGCTACTCAGTGTATTCAGCAGGTGTAATGTATTCTAAGTTGCTTCAGAAGTATTGCAAGTACTACTACGTACAACAATAAAACAGTGCATTGACATAAAAAAGGAAATTTACTTTTGGTACTTAAGTACTTTTAAAAGCAAGTACTTCTGTACTTCTACTTAAGTAAAAATCTGTCTTTACAACTTTTACTTGTAATGGAGTAATATTTGACCAGCAGTATCTGTACTTTCACTCAAGTAATGGAGTTGAGTACTTTGTCTGCCTCTGGTTGTCACTCTATTTCTCCCAAAGATGATGTTGCTCAGTTTTATGATCAAAAATCTAGTTGTTGTGTCGGGAAAATATATATATAATGCAATGCAATACAATGATGATACAGATGTGCAAATAAATGTTCTTCAATCTTCTATATTTGATGTATCATATTTGATACATTTTAACATGATTTTTTCTTTAAAAAAAAAAGTATGGATAATCAAGTGAACTCACTGTGCTTCAGGTCAGTAAGGGTTCATCTTGATCACAAATATTAGTTATTCTTACATAAAAAAAAAAACAATTCAATTTCAAAATTTCACAGCAAAAAAACACTGTATCACAACCTGAAGGGGGAAGTTTGCATCTTACTTACAACAACAACAAAAAAGTATGAACTATCAAACTATGTGGTTTTACAGTATTTGCATATGTGAGTGACTGTAAGATCTGGGAGAGGGTAACTTACTGGGAGAGGTCGTCCGGTGGGAGTATGGGCTGGGGTACGGTGTGGACCGGTGACTTCTCAGAGTAGAGTAGCGTTCACAGCCATGGGATGAGGATAGAGACAGCGGGCTGCCAAACTGTGTGTGAGGGTTTGCAGAAGGGCAGAGAGATCCTGTGGCTGGCAGAAACCAGCTACTTACTAGACCAACAGGAAAAGGAGAGTCAATGGGAAATTCCTGCACATACACAGCTGCTGCTTGATGAGATCAGTCATCATTTTATAAAGAATTGTGAAAAACAGCTCTAATAACAAAAAGCTTAAATCCAACTGAATCACACTGATAAATATCGTGATTATTAATTGAAATTTGCTCTTACATTGAGAATAGCCAGACTGTTGACTTTCACTGACATCCTCTATTATGTCCTTATGATCACTTCTGAAAAACAAAAAAGAATATAAAATTAAATTATATATTAGTGCTGTCAAATGATTAATCGCATCCAGAATAAAAGTTTTTATTTTGGATGTATATATATATATATATTTTTTTTTTTTTACCATACAAGTCCTCAACAGTGTTCACATGAGAGAAATTGGGGTTTGCTGTTTTGAGTCAGTTACAAACAGTGTTGGGGAAAGTTACTTAGCTGTCAATCAATAAATTGGAAAAAAAGGAACTTGCGTTACTTATTTGAAAAAGTAACTCAGATATTCTCTTGTAAATTAAAAAGTAATGCGTTACTTTACTAGTTACTTGAAAAAGTAATCTGATTACGTAACTCACGTTACTTGTAATGCGTTACCCTCAACGCTGGTTACAAATGCTTATTTTGTTGGTTTAAAAGCACCTAGTTCAAGCATCTAGGACATTTTTATGAATATTATTTGATCTGACAATCAAAGCAAGAAGCAAAAGTTAATTACAGCACATTTGTACTTTTTTGAATTCTACTGCTTTCATTCTTAAAAATATATTTTCTTCTGTGCTGCGAACAGACGTTTGTTTTTTAAACTGAATTTCATCCTACAAAGTGAAATTCCAACATATTCCCCATATATTTGTTACAATTACTGTATATCAGGGCAAGTGTTTTATACATTTTTATTTTATACTACGAACGATAAAAGAATGTGTCTATTCAAAACGTTTCTTTCAAACATAAACTATCTTAGTTGGAGTAAAACGTGACAACTGGCCCCTTATTCGTTTACAATACACGTTTATTCAAATGTTTTATTTGTATTTATTTATTTGAACCATACCTGTCTTTGGCATCCAGGAAGGCCTTGGCGAATGGATTGTATTTAATTTTGAGAGAAGTAATCTAAAAGAGCAAAATTACGGATGTTATTCAGAGTGTTATTATGCACCATATCCTTGTTCATTTGTTGACAAACTTTATAAAATCACAGTGTACCTCTTCATTCTGGTAGGCAGTAACTGCTATGAATTGTGTCTCGGGGAACGAGTGAGTGGTGATCATTCTCTGTGGACCACCAACGCGCACTATATGGATACGGGGCTCATACTTGTGCAGCGAGTTCAGCATAATCTATGAATAAATGGCATATATTTTCGATTTACATTTCAGTATTTTCTGTGGTGTAAAATTTGGACATTTAAATAAAATCATGAACAATGCATCTGAATTACGCACAAAAAATGGTGATTACATTTCATTCCACATCATCTTTTAGATTGGCTTACACACCATAACACTGTTCTCGCAACAAAAATGTCCACGAACCTGACCACCTCCGTTCAGTTTGTTGGTAAGTTTGACTTTACTGAAGGAGACTGAGGTTTTCATCCAGTGCGCACCGAAGTTTGGCGAGTCTGGATGGATGTAGACGCAGATCGGCGCTTGTGGCTCGGGTTTGCCCCCCGGTACCCATTCACCGTTCACATACTTCCACCTGTGATTGTCTGCTGCCACGAAATCCATTAAGAAGGAGTACATGGCGTTTGGATCCAGACCGGACACATTCACCTTTAGCACCGGGAACATGCGCCTGATCACAGCAATAAACAGTGACATCATCACGTTTCTTTTTAAATAAGTGAAACAACTCCACTAAAATTAATTCACTTGAAAGCAGAATGAGAAGGAGGGGGAAATACGTGTTTGGAACTTAAAGCTGGATTTGGAACTGTTATAGGCTATATGGAATTGGAATAGAAACAAACACGTTTGTACGCTGAAAAAAATGTCTAAAAGCCTTAAAATGTTGAAAAATGTGGTTAAACTTAAATTAATTGATTTTATAAATATTATTTGAAATGACAGTCAAAGCAAGAAGCAAAAGTTAATTAAAGCACATTTTTACTTTTTTGAATTCTACTGCTTTCATTACTAAACATATATTTCCTTCTGTGCAGCGAACAGAAGTTTGTTTGTAAAAATGCTAAAAATAAATAAATAAAAATACCTGCCATTCTTGGTCACTATCATTTCATTGGTCAGTTCTTTGAACTTCTGCCAAAGTTCATTTTCATCCAAACTGACTTTAAGGTCCCTTTCTGTTGGATCTCCTTTCTCACTGCCAGCTTGAAGCTCATTCTCTACCGCAGTTAATAAATGATCCACCCGATACTGGACGCTCTTTTCCGAACAGTCACTGGCCCCAGATGCCATTCTATATATATATATATATATATATATATATATCCAAACTACGCGAGCTCTCCAGTCGAAAAATGCCTAAGACTAGAAGAGATGCATCCAATTAAATACTCCCAAGGTAAAACTTTCTCCATGCTTGGCTCAGGAAAGCTCTGATTGGCTGATCTCCGCTTTGATGTGCGAGCTGTCCAGCTATTGGGTCAGTGATCCAGTGAGGCGAAGCGTAAATATTTACACATATTCATAGTCACATCGGCACATTTTAAACGTGAAATATATTTCCTCCTTACAAAAAACTTAATAAAAATAATGCATGCCAAATTATAGGTTTGCAATGTTGGAAAATGTATGATTTATACACTTTTTTTTTTCTTAAGTCTTCATACTTAAAAAGCTCCTTTATTTAACTGTTAAGACTTTAAATTCAAACTACAGTATGAATGTGTGAAAGATGCAATATGTTATCTGCTGAATGCCACTGGAGAAATGCAAAAATAAATAAAATAAAAAAATAAAACGATTATTATTTATCAAGTACACTCTAAAAAATGCTGGGTTAAAAAGGGACAAACCCAGCTATTGGGTTGTTTCGACCCAGCGGTTGGGTTGTTTTGACCCAGCTATTGGGTTGTTTCGACCCAGCGGTTGGGTTGTTTTGACCCAGCTATTGGGTTGTTTCGACCCAGCGGTTGGGTTGTTTTGACCCAGCTATTGGGTTGTTTCGACCCAGCGGTTGGGTTGTTTTGACCCAGCTATTGGGTTGTTTCGACCCAGCGGTTGGGTTGTTTTGACCCAGCTATTGGGTTGTTTCGACCCAGCGGTTGGGTTGTTTTGACCCAGCTATTGGGTTGTTTCGACCCAGCGGTTGGGTTGTTTTGACCCAGCTATTGGGTTGTTTCGACCCAGCGGTTGGGTTGTTTTGACCCAGCGGTTGGTTCAAAACAACCCAACTGCTGGGTCAAAACAACCCAATAGCTGGGTTTGTCCCTTTTTATCCCAGCGCTGGGTTATATTTAACCCAGCATTTTTTAGAGTGTAGACTAGTTTTTTTTAATTGCATTGTAAAAATTCTTATTTTTTGTAATTTATTTTCACACCAAAAAAAGGGGTGTAATGCAAGTCAATGGATAGGTGTTGATTATGTTTATGAGTTTAAAGCCCGTGGGAATCTTTCGCCAGAGGTGTCAAGAGCGGAGGAAACGCCATCCGACTGGACGCGTTTCAGGTCAATGGGTGTTCATAAAATAGCGCCATCGTGGCGACAAAACTTCCGGTAAAAATGTTTATGATTTTATAGGAACAACAAAACCTAACTGAAATTATTTTTTTATGGTATTTATTGACTAAATACACAGTAAAGTAAACAATGTGATTAAAATAAAATGCATTTATGAGTTAAGCAGGACGTCTCTTCTGTCCTCTCCATTAACTAACAGCATCCTGGACCTACACTCTCAGAAAAAAAGAGGGTACAAAGGGACACCTTTGTACAGTATTTACCCCTAAATGGTTCATAATAGTACTAAGAGTACGATTACAACTCTAAAGTAATAAGCACCCTTTAGGGGTAAAGAAGGTGTCCCTAAAAGTACAAGTCTTTGCACATTTATTCTGAAAGTTTGTTTTAAAGTGACAAATCAACACCAGTCCTCTATGTATAATTTGACCACATCTTCACATCAGCGTTTTCCACCTGAAACAAAGTAAAACTGCAGTTAACTGTCGAAGAAATCTAATTTTGAATTATTATCATTATTATATTATTGTGTAGTTGGTTTGTTTGTATCTATTTTATCATAGAAACAATATGGTGTAAACAACACATACAGTACCTCAACAGCACGACTAGTATAGATGTCAGCTATGCATAGAGGCATGTCTGTATATGATGATTGAGTGTCTTTAGCAGAACTAGACGGGGATTCATCTGTGTTTTTTCCAGCCGGATGCAGACTGCATGTATGAATGAAAAATGATAAAGTTTGAAAGCAAAAAGATTGACACGTTCCTTAGCGCTTTCATTCACAGTAATTCCTAACCTTGGTGAGAACTGAGTATTTGGACTCTCAGTGAAGGATTCTGGGCTCTCAGATGTTCCTTTATCACTCAGGTGCGTAAAGTCAGGCTCTGTGGGATATCTGGACTTCTGAGTTTGGATGTTGTGGGGACAATCATGCTCCATCTCCTCAAAATAAATGAGAGTGGATTGCTGAATAATAAATGATCTATAAAAGCACATTATAAAGGAGTAGGTGACCCAAAAAATAAATATTTTGTCATGATTTTAAGGCATAATTTTTGAAGAGAACAAAACTTTGGTAGAGTGGGAGATCATTAGTCAACAGCATGAGTCTAAACTCCTCAAAAACATAATGTTTGATTTCAAGATACCTTGAATATAGCACATTGATCTTGCAGACTACTTTTACTTTTATGATACTTTTATGTTGTTTTTCCATTTTTTTCTCACATTTGACACAATAAATCATCATACACTACACTATACAGCTGGACGGAAAACCAAAACTGGGACATTCTCTTTGAAATCTTCTTTGAGATTCATGATGAAAGAAAACACAATGGTGTCCAAACAACAAGAGGGTAAATAAACGTCATTTTGGGTAAACTACTCCTAAGTTCACTTCACTTAAAGAAGTTCAAGTTTTTAAAGCTGAAGAAGCACGTGTTGTGTGTCACTCACCAATTCTTTAATGCTGAACCCAACTGTGCATTGCAGACCGAGTCCATTTTTTGCCATAATTCTAAAGAGATATAAAATTAATATAAATTTTCCATTCATTTCAATTAGATTCCAGACATTGTCAAATTATTCACCTCTGAGTGTCAGCCATATGAGAGAGCGAGAGGTTGTGCATTAATCTCGTTTTGTGTTTAATGTCAATGGTCTTTGACCAGATCGGTGGCTCATAGCTTCTCTGTTATGATGAAAACAGAGAAACAACAACAGTTCTGAAAATACAAAACCAAACCCTTCTTTCAAGAAAAAGCATTCATCCTCATGACAAAACTTCAGATTCACCATTTCATGAACAAATAATCCAAACATGTGCACCTAACTGGTAGCACTACTTGTATCGGTTTCCCTCTGGAGAGCTTTAGATAAAGGTCTCTGCTAAATTAATTGAATTAATGTGAACGTAGGATGATAAAAATGTCCTAAAGGTACCATAAGAAGCATCTTGGAGCTGACTTCTTCCAGGAAGGTGGACCGCAGACTGGAAAATGTAGGCACTTTGAGCTCCCGAGTGAAAACCTATAAAGACAAAATGTACTGCATGTATATAACAGCTTTTATATTTTAGGAGGGGGATCAACATATTTGGTACATTATATTATACATATTTTTTCCCTTATGGAATGTGTTGTTCCCTTGACGTTACATCGAATTATGCAACATAAGAAGCGTGTGAACAGTGTTTTGTGTATTCCTTCATTGGTGATTATTTGTCACTTCCATGGGTTATATCATGACAGTGGGATGTATCATTCAGAAGACAGAGGTGATAGCACTAGTGTCATCTCTCACAGTTGCTGTGTTACTCTGTGCACCTTACAATCTTTCAGGCCACGCAGTGTGTCGGCTCACACCCTGAGGTGACAGGGTGTGAGTGAGGGAGCCATCTGAGACAGCTGAACTGTTGATATACTGTAGGTGCTTATTCGCACGTCACTATATGAATGGTGTTAGGTGGGCCTCACCTCTACAGCTTCTGCACAACAGCAACAACTGCAGTGGTAAAGCCTTGTTTATATGCAAGCACACTGTAATGCGAGTGGGGAACAGGTGTAACACTGTGTAAAAACCCTGTAGAATGAAGTGAGAATGATGTTAGATCACACCAAACTGTTTACATAAGAAGTCATGACTGATGCCTTAACTATTTCAGTCCAAAATTGGCTATCCCACAAACTTTTTTTTCCCTCCCTGGGCAAAAAAACGTTTAAATATATGGTAAATAATATATAAAAATAAAAACAGGGCAGTAAATGAAAAATATTTTTCAAACTTTTTTCAATGCTAAAATATATTACAAAAATTTGCTGGGGTGTTCTGGGTGTTTACTTACCCAAGTGAAAATATTTTTATGTCTCCCAGCTATCGGTCAGATTAAATGTTTTGCTTTAAAAAATTAAATACGGTAATACTTTAACAAATATTCACGATTAACGAATAGTTTTCCCTCAATAAACTCCTAATTTGCTGCTTATTAATAGCTAGTAAGGTAGTTGTTAAGTTTAGGTGTGGGGTAGGATTAAGGGATCTAAAATATGGTCATGCAGAATAAGGCATTAATAGTGCTTTATAAGTTTTAATAAACAGCCAATATGCTAGTAATATGTATGCTAATAAGCAACTGGTTAATAGTGAGAATTGGTCCTTTAAATCAAGTGTTACCTGAAAGACTTATTCTTTAATACAGTAAAGTATTCAGCTCAAAGGCTAATATGTGTAAAACGGAAACATTTTCTCATGCAAGTGTAGTTGAGAGAAGATATATCTTCAAGTGTAATTGAGAGATGTTTGGATATTTTCTAAAGGCCTATATTTGCAGTGTCTGTCCACGTCATAGATGTCTAGTACCTGTCTCCAAGGTGGATCTGACTGTTTTCTTGTGTGTTGCAGCTGTAAGTGGGACTCAGGGCTAAGTAATACTCCTGACTGCTGGCTCTTCCCAACTCTGTCTGCCCGATGTTTGCCATCCCACTCCCTCCTCCAAACCCATGCTCTGTTTGCACGCGTCCACAATGACAGGGAGGTGTGAGAAAAACGAACCATTCGTGTCTTTCTACAGGTTTGACTCTCATCTCAGCTTCACTGCTCATTCTCTTCATCCTCCTCTCTCACCTCCATGCGGTCTGGAATCTGGCAACGACTGGTGTCTTGCAGTCAACTACTTTAACACCAGTTTTCATATAGCAGGCAAGCAAAAATCCATAATATCCCCAAGATTTTCAGTAAAAATGTTTGACTGCAAACAACTCTATTGTCACAGATATATTCAATTGGACTCTATTTTTATGTTTGTACTTTTTCCCTGCCTGAGTTTGTTGCCATAGTGACCTAGTTAAGTTAATCATTCCTCGTCTACACTATGACTCTGTGTGAGTAAGCTAATTCTGTGTTCCTGATTAAGATTAAAGACTTTTGATTCTTCCTCTTCGTCTTTGTGCGTGTGTCTGACTACAAGTTGTGACCTCTATAGTTTTACTATAGTTTTCAGTTAAATAACATCCACCTTCAGCCTGTTTGGCTTTTTTTCTGCCAAAATGGACTTCAAATATCCTAAAGAGTTCTACTGAAGCAATGTTCACTTGAGTTGAGTATGTTTAGCATCTATTAAAAATATTCCAATTAATTAAGTCTTCTACAAATTTTTAAGCTTTAATTTTCTTACCTTTAGACTTTCAGTAATGCATTACATTCTAGACTTGACAGTCCAACACTTTTATATAGTTTCTTTATTGGATCTTTGAGGTGAGCAAATGTCACTAGAAGGCTGTGGTCATTAACACCATTGTTAGTGTGTCGAACTCTCATGCTGGCAATAATCAATTTGTTCCCCATGTAGAACGCGTTACAGTGGTGCCGTGACCCAGATGAGAGTGAGGTTTAGAGGTGTGAGTATAACACGCCAGCTGGTACAAGATTGTGCAGGTAACCCTCACTCCCCGGTTCAAGAGGTGCACTAGCGACTGACACTAAAAAATCTACAGTCTTTAGTGCTGTTGTTAGTGTGCCCAACTCCCATGCTGGCAATAATCAGTTTGTTCCCCAAGCAGAACCGGTTACAGTGGTGCCGTGATCCGGATGAGAGTGAGGTTTAGAGGTGCGAGTATAACACGCCAGCTGGTACAAGATTGTGCAGGTAACCCTCACTCCCGGGTTCAAGAGGTGCACTAGCGACTGACACTAAAAAATCTACAGTCTTTAGTGCTGTTGTTAGTGTGCCCAACTCCCATGCTGGCAATAATCAGTTTGTTCCCCAAGCAGAACCAGTTACAGTGGTGCCGTGACCCGGATGAGAGTGAGGTTTAGAGGTGTGAGTATAGCAGGCCAGCTGGTACAAGATTGTGCAGGTAACCCTCACTCCCCTGGATTCATCAGGTGCACTAGCGACTGACGCTAAAAAAATCAGCAGTCATTAGTGTTGTTGTTAGTGTGCCCAACTCCCATGCTGGCAATAATCAGTTTGTTCCCCAAGCAGAACCAGTTACAGTGGTGCCGTGACCCGGATGAGAGTGAGGTTTAGAGGTGTGAGTATAGCAGGCCAGCTGGTACAAGATTGTGCAGGTAACCCTCACTCCCCTGGATTCATCAGGTGCACTAGCGACTGACGCTAAAAAAATCAGCAGTCATTAGTGTTGTTGTTAGTGTGCCCAACTCCCATGCTGGCAATCGTCAATTGGAAGAAGAACCATTTACAGTGGTGCCATGACCCAGATGAGAGGTTTAGATGCATGAGTGTAATGGAGGCCAGCTGATACAACATAGTTGTGCAGGTAAACCTCATTCAATTAATATAATTTAAATTAGATGCCAGACATTGTCAAATTTCTTACCTTTGTGTGTCAGCCATATAAAAGAGTGAGAGGTTGTGCATTAATCTCATTTTGTGTTTAATGTCAATGGTCTTTGACCTGATCGGTGGCTCATGGCTTCTCTTTTGTGCAGGTAATCCTCATACGCCCAGGTTCAAGAGGTGCACTAGCAACTAATGCTAGAGACTACTTCCTTAGTGCATCTGACTCCCATGCTGGCTGTCATTGGTTCAAGCACCACTCAGAGCGGACCGAGTGGAATGGATTATATTACAAACTAGTGAAATAGCTATATAGTTCTTCAGAGGTTACAAAAGTTGAAAAATAGATGAATTCAGAATGTAAACAGAAAGTAGACCATTCACAACTACACTGAGCAGTGTAGAAGTTACTTGAAGTATTTAGAACAAACCATATAATCAGAACATTAAGTAATGAAATCAATGCTGTCAAGCAAACACTGTAAAGAATTTTTTTTTCTGAGGTGCTTAAAATTTTTTTCTTATAAAGGCCTTTTAGTTATAATTGAAATCTTTTTTCCCCCTTTTTTTTAATTAGAATTCTTTTTACAATATGAATTCTTATTTTAGAAGCTCACTTATAAGTCACTTGTCTATATAAGTGTAGGTGAATGTGAGGGTTATGTATGTTTGTGTGTGAGACTGCTGGAGGTGTGTTTGCCTCCCTGTGTTGCTTACTGAGTTCAGAGACACTGTGGTTTGACACTTACCTCAGGAAACATGAGCTCAGTTTCGTCTTGTCCCCAGCTCTGTTTGCCCTGCTGTTGGAAAGTGTTCACCCCTCCTTCATTCCCTCTTAGTGAGACTGGCATCTGTGAAAAAAAAGTAGACATTACAGTAACACTTCAGATTAGAGAACACAAATTCACTATTAACTAAGAGTTTTCCCTCAATAAACTCCTAAGTTGCTGCTTATTAATAGTTAGTAAGGTAGTTGTTAAGTTTAGGTGTGGGGTAGGATTAAGGGATCTAAAATATGGTCATGCAGAATAAGGTATTAATATGTGCTTTATAAGTACTAATAAACATCCAATATGCTATAATATGCATGCTAATAAGCAACTAGTTAATCATGAGAACTGGTTCTTAAAATAAAGTGTTGCCGACATTACAAACAGACAACATTTTATCATTTTTATTATTTAGTTTTCAGAAAGTTAGAGCTTGGGTTGAACACTCTCAACTGCAGTACTTACGTTCATACACTTCCCTCGTGTCATTCCAAACCTGTGCAACATTCTTTTTCTCAGAAAACAAAAAAAATATTTTGAAGAATGTTTCATTTGTTTTACCCAATTAAAGTCAGTGAACCCTAATGACTTTCATTGTATGTACAAAAAGCAATGAAACTTTTTACAAACTATCTTTTTTGTGTGTTCCACAGAAGAAAGAAATTCATACAGGTTTGAAACGACATGAAGGTGAGTAAGTGAATTGTCATTTTTGGGGTGAACTATTCTTTTAAGTTTGTGTTATTGAGAATGGACACAATGAACACAATGCCTTGACAAGATTTTGCTTTTCTACTTTTCTCTGATTAAGCTAGATCTCCACCTTCTTCCCACTTTGCAACATGGCCAAGTCTGAGCGATACGTGAGAGCAACCAATGGAGTGAGCGTAGGGTTGTCAATATATTCCTAATGATGTGCTACTTCTCAAGAAGAGCCTCAGACACAGCCCAGCTCACACCCGATAACACTGCACACCCGGGTGAGGACACACTTTGTCTGCTGGGTGCAAACTGGCCCTCCAGAGCGCTGCAGTGTAGGACAGCGTTTCCTCACAGCACTGTGTTGCAGCTAACAGACATGTAACAAGCCTGTACACCGGCAGAGAGAATGAGAGTAAAATTCATTTGTGTAGGAAATGAAGATTATGCTGATGAGTGGTTTTAGCTATGGGAAGAGCCCACTAACATCGGATACAAAATAAATATTCTGGGGAAAATAATAATAATAATAATAAACTTGGGTGTGTAAGTGGACAAAGATGTGTGAACAGTTTGTTCCGTATATTTCTCCTTTCAAATCAGTGATGATGGAGCAATGTTCCTCAGACAGATTTGACTGTCCACCCTGAAAATAAAAAGGTGTGAAATTCAACATGGCAGATAGATATTGTGACTCAGTATCTCTCATAGAAACCAGACAATCTGAGGTAAATATAAAAAGAAATAGACTCAAGTGTGTAATTTATAGATCTCAAATATCTCTATTTCTGGGCTCAGCTGTGATTATTGTGTCTGTGAAGTTTGACAAGCTGTAACCAGCCAACCACAGAGAACTTAGTAACAGTGTCCCAGGGGAAAATCTTATTGCTCAGAGGCTGCTCTGTCATTGCTCAGAAGATGTTACAGGGTTCTCAGTTAAAATGCCTTTGGTGTTGGTGATTAGTGTTGGTGATTAGTACAGCTCAGATAATTTAGTCTTGGAAGAATGCATTGAGAAATGTTTGATTTCATATTGAAAACTCTCAATAACTGACTTGGCAAACCTGACCATATTTGAGATATTGTTGAAAATCTACAGGATACAAAAATATAAAAATTCTAAGATAATTTCCTTAGGAGACAAATCTAAAACTTTAGCTTATCTGAGATATTCTTTCTCCTTATGTTGTTCTGGGTGCTTGCTAGCTAGATCATTTGCTAGTAGGGGTGTAACGATTCACTCGTTTTCTCGATGCATTGATTACAAACCCTGAGGATGCATATGCATCGATGTTGAAACATGATTTTTGAATTGTGAATCGCCGATTTCGGACAGTAATCGATTAAAAACGCTAAGAATCGAAATGGCCAGTAATGCTAAAGTGAAGTAGTTTTACTTTTCTGTAGTTTTCAATGGCTCTCGGTCATACCGACGACATTACATGAGCAGTCGAAAGCTGCGTATTTATTGCATGGAGGGAGGAGAAATGTAAGTGTCTAAAGCATACGCACAGTTCCATTGAATCTACAGGATACAAAAATATAAAAATTCTAAGATAATTTCCTTAGGAGACAAATCTAAAACTTTAGCTTATCTGAGATATTCTTTCTCCTTATGTTGTTCTGGGTGCTTGCTAGCTAGATCATTTGCTAGTAGGGGTGTAACGATTCACTCGTTTTCTCGATGCATTGATTACAAACCCTGAGGATGCATATGCATCGATGTTGAAACATGATTTTTGAATTGTGAATCGCCGATTTCGGACAGTAATCGATTAAAAACGCTAAGAATCGAAATAATCGCGATTTCTATAGCGATTCAATGCTTTCAAAATATATACACACTAAATTACTACAAGCATGAATTAATGGAGACTTTGAACAGTGTTCCTGCCTCGCATCTCTCCTTCACGCGCTCCACTAACCGCATGTGACTGTCACAGGATTGCGCTCGCGCTCAGTTCGTCTCACTCACTGACAGTGTTGGGGAAAGTTAAAGTATTTTTTTTTTACCTTATTCTGTGCAGAAAATTGAAATAATTGTTTGTAGTATATAAAACAATCATAAAATTGCCATTAGGAAACAATTATGAATTACAAATGATTGATTATTGTCCAGCAGTGTATTTGATTTCTTATAGCAAATTCAAAGTAAGAGATAAGAAAATCATTCCTTTTAAAAAAAAATTAATAAATAAATAATAATAATACATACATAAAAGTATTGTATTTGACATTCCTGTCACTTCTGAAATGATGGCTACGCCCCTGGTGTGACAAAATGTTAGCCTATACATAATACTTTTAAAGCTCTTTTTTAAAATCTTGGCTTACAAACATTATTATGTATGCCATAGCATCATTAAACTAGCATCTAACAATAGACAAGTGTTTTTTTCTCTAACCAATGGTTTTGTAACCATAAAGGCTGCTGTGTAATTTGCCCCCTGACTAAGCATTTAAAGAATTTAGGGGAAGCATTTAAATAATCCTGTGAATGCACTTAAAGAATGCAGAATCGAATCGTTATAATCGAATCAAATTTAAATGTGAATCAAATCGAATCGCTCTAAATTTGCAAAAATCGTTCTTGAATCGAATCGAAAACCCATGAATTGTGAATCAAATCGAATCACTGTCTACCCAAAGATTCACAGCCCTACTTGCTAGACAGACGCTTGCGATCTACCTATCTATCTATCTATCTATCTATCTATCTATAGATAGATAGATAGATAGATAGACTTTTTCTTTATTCTGAGAAAGGTTGTTTAAGGTCCAGAGAGCTCTTTTCCAAACAGTTTAACTCATTCCCTGACCTCCGGCATCATGTGACATCCCAGGCCAAATTGGTCAGTCTCTTTTGTGTGTGAAATAAATTAGACATTCTCCCCTGGGTGATGTTTGTCCATGATGTGCTGACTGAAGGAGATTCTCCTCCACCACTGAGAGGGAGGGGGTCCTGTTTGATCGTCTCACTGCTACGTGAACAATCAATTCTCTTTTCAACTGGCTTCCAGCAGATTGTGTGTTTGTGTTAGGCCAGCAGGGCAAACAGCATGGGGAGAAAGGACAGTTGCAGGCCTTTTCAACCCCGGCAGCATCTTAAACAGTCTAAATATAAGTTTTTTTTATTTTTTATTTTTTCGCATTTCATTAGCTAAAATGAACTGACTTGGTTTTTGTAAGAATAAGTAGCTTAGAAATACAAAGGCAACTCAGCCTGTGACCGATTGAATGAGCATAAACTTACATGTTTGTGCTGTGCTGTGGAGTCATCAGGTGTGATCTGAAGTTTCGGGAGAGACCCAGATTTCTGTTTCAACAGGTCCCCAAGAGTAACATCTGAGCTGTGTTCTGCCAGCATGAAATGACAATGACAGCAAATGAGAATCCAAAATTTTCCAGATTTAAATTGGAGTAGAGAAAAATTGTGTTAGAGTTGGTAAGTTTGATTAATTTCCATGAATCAGTACAAACATTCATTTGCAATGGATTCATCCACAACTCTGATTCAATGTTTTGTTTAGTCATCGCTTTCTTTCTCTCTCTCTCTCTCTCTCTCTCTCTCTCTCTCTCGCTCTCTCTCAAAAAGAAGTAAAATACATAGTAAAAATATGTGAATATTTCTGTTTATTCCTATTTATTGTTACATTAGCACATATATATGGAAATTATTAACATTACCAACACACACACACACACACACACACACACACACAAACATTCTAATACCATGGCACACTTACTTTTTAATTTTTGATATCTTAAACAGGTTTTACCTTCTGTGAATTGATAGCTGATTCAGTGTGAAAACAGCACTGCTCATAGCATCAGCTCTCACCCATTGCTTGTAGTTGCTTCTCAAGTTGACATGTGCTTCTGTGTTGTTCTGTCCAGACCCTGAACACCTCCTGTTCCCTGCGGCTCTGAAGAAACCCGAGTCGTTTCAGCCGTTTCTGCAGTTCCAGAACCTCATGTAGGCCAGATTAGAGATGATTAATCATGTGCATTTTACTAATCACATAAAGTCCTAGTAAATATCAACGAAGAGAGAAAGCTAGGTAATGCTGGTCTCACCAGGTAGTAGTGTGTTTTAGGTAGACACCTCAAGTATGCATCATCGTGTGTGAGGGTTGATCTGGTGGCCCTCTGAATGGTCACAAGCTTCTGTGACAGAAGGAATAAACTGAGGATGCAAAGAGGATCTCTAACTATTGATTACAGACTCTTATATCTCGACAAATCAAGGCACAGCTTGAAACATTGAGGAACAGTTCAGATCTTGAAATATTTGAGATCGCACTTGAGGTTTTTCTTTCCATTCTGAGGGTCCCGCAAGGACCGCTGTCTTAGTAGGGCTGGGAACCCCCAGCGTACAAAATGAATGAGAAGTAAACATGCAACCAGAGGAAGCCATTAACTGCAACAGAGACCAATTAGGCCCCAGCAGGTGTCCACGACTCAGCCTGCTTTAGTCCCGGCTCAACATCATGAAGTCTGGACAAAGTTTTTGGCCTGAGCTGAGGAAACAACAGGGCAGTTTCATTTGCTCAGCAATTTGTACCAAAGGTTTCCTACTGGCAGCCCATAAAGTCCTTTATAGCTCAACCTTTGTCCTCCCCTCCAGTGCTGGTCATTAGAGGACACAATTACAGCCCGCTGAAGAAGTCTTGCTTTTATAGGAGGAGATTGATAAGCCAAAGACCCCTCCCCCACATTCTTACCCCCCAGTCTCTACCTATTATTGTCTTCAACCCAGACAGCCAAAAATCAAAGTCAGTCGCAAGTCCACACCAACTGCTTCCCCCATATTACAACGACAGGCTTCCTCAATCCTCCGGACCTCAGTTGTTACTGTTGTTACTTTGATTTCAAAGGGTCAGTGGGAGACACATCTACTGTCCTGCAAAGAGTTACACTACAGCGCAATCGACATTGCATGGACATCTAGATTCATTTTTGCTGAAGAGATGCTTGCCATTCACCTTTGTTTTGTACATGTAGCCTAAATTCACTTCAGCAAGACCAGAGGAATTTTTTTTGGAGAGGATTTGCCTAAATTCTGTTTTAGGAGGAATAAAAATACACAAAGAGACAATTTTTAACATACAGTAAGAGTGGTCACACTCAGTGTTGGGGGTGAAGCATTACAAGTAACGTAAAAAAGTAATGCAAGTTACTTTGTTTTCCCATGTATTCACTGACACCTGTTTTCCCATGTATTCACTGACACCTCCCCTGTCCCAGTGTTGAGAGAAATCAGGAGTGAGGTGCAGAGGCACTTCCTTCAGCCTGAGGCATAATAATTTCACTTTTGTTGTGAAACGGCCTTTACAGTTGCCAAAAATATAACTTTAGGGCTTTTGTTATTAAAAAACAAATAAGCAAGCCCAGCCCAAAACAAAAAGTAATGCAAAAGTAATGTAATGCGTTACTTTCCATAAAGAGCAACTAAGTAACGCAATTAGTTTCCTTTTTAAGGAGTAACGAAATATTGTAATACATTACTTTTAAAAGTAACTTTCAACAATGGTCACACTTTAGTTTAGGGACCAATTCTCACTACCAACTAACTATTAACTTATGAATAGTTAGTAAGGTAGTTTTTATGTTGTTTAGGTATGGGGTAGGATTAAGGGATCTAAAATCTGGTCATGCAGAATAAGGCATTAATATTTGCTTTATAAGTACTAATAAACAGTCAATATGCTAGCTGTATGCATGCTATAAGCAACTTGTTAATAGCGAGAACTTAAAATAAAGTGTTACCATAAGAGTAATTTATGCGGACAGAATAGGCCAGACCATTTGGTTTTGGGAGAATTTAGATCTCTGACTTTTGCAGACTTTTCGGTGTCTTGGCAAATTTGAACACAGTCTGAGACTTTGTTAAGATTTCTTCTGAAACTCTACAGGAGACACTTGTGAGACCACTAGGGTGTAAATGTCTCAATTTGATCTCATTTTAATCTCAGCGCTGTCTAGGAAAAACAACTAGATATTAAAGAGGGCTCACAGGTGATTTTTTCTTTCCTTCTGGAGTTTAGCAAGGTTAGGACAACACATTTTTCAGGGCTATACACTAAGTGGAAGTGTGTACTTGTATAATTGTCCATGCAGTTGCTGGTAAGGCCGCAGTGGAACACTGTCATGAATATTTCAGCACAGAGACTTCCTCTCAAGCTCTGATCGAGTGAAAGGAAACGGTCAACTTTATTTGAAATGTTAATGGTTATCCCACTGATGTGGAAGATGTGTTTGTTACTCTACAGAAGGTGGTGTATGGATATGTGTATGTATACGTGTCGGGTGGATGTCCACAAGCTTATCTTGGACGTTACAGGAAGTTTGAGGCTGACTTGTGAGTTTGGTTTACAATATACACCTCTAAACAACATTCACAATAATAACCATGAACAAAGAGAGAAGAGAGAAGAGAGCTTCAATTTAACTAGACTGACTAAATAACTAGATCTAGTTTAGAAGGTCACCTTGTTTGTAAGGGAGACCAGTGTTTTTTGTTTTTTTTTAGGTAAAGGTCCAAATGCATAAAAGCATGTGCGTGTTTTTTTCCTTGCAGAGAGAGAGAGGGGGGGGGTGGAACATTGATATTCACCAAGTAATTCTAAATTACCTAGTTCATCAAAATAATAAAATGTACGAAATCTTTAAGGGCTGAGAATGAAGCTACTTTAATCAATGTTTCCTTAACGACTATCTCTGGTCTCCCTTACCTACTTAAAAAAAAATTATCAGCAAAACAGGAAAAATGCTTCCTTAAATATAAAGAGATCCAACAGAAAACACTGCAACACTTCCTCTGAACGTTTTCTCAGCACTGCTGTCTACTGGAGAGATTCAGTACCACTATGCTTGTGTTTTGCTCTCTTTAATGAAGACAAATTAGTTATAATTAGTCATTGATTCCAGGAGGGTGTACCTGTTCTTTATGTCCTTCTCTAAGTTTGGAATCATGTTGCTTCATCTCTTGTCTTTGTCTTTGAACTTTTTCCCTCAGTAATGTAGCATGCTGGTATGAAAGCACGTCTTTCAAGCGCTGTAGTCTGTAGTATGTCTCTAGGTGGCGCTAGAATGTAAGAAAAAGAGAACGAAAGCATCGGCGTGTGACAGAACAGAGCAAAAGAGAACAATAATTGAATTTGTGAAACTGCTGTCAACTCTTTTATGCATACAGAATGTGTATTCATTTATTCATAGAGAATATAGCATCTTATTAATATGACTTCAAATAAACAGTTAGATCATTTAGTTGCATTGTTTATTTTTTTTAAATAATTTTATTATAAGACTATGATTAGACAGATTGTATTTATAAATTAAAACTACATAATACACAACATATTTAATTTATTATAAACAATGTTAGTATAAAATGCTATGGTAAGCACCTCTTAATTGGTTAAATGTATACCTATTTAAAAAGTCAATATAGGTAAATTGACTGTAAAATATTGAAATAAAAGATAGATAAAGTCACTAAAATGCCTCCAATAATTAATCATTCTCAATGTATTTTTGGTGGTAAATTTATTTTTTATTAGATTGAGCAATTAAACCGATAATAAACAAGATAATTATTATTATTATTTTTACAGTGCAGCTAGTATATAAAGTGAGAACTATCACACTGTTTGTGGTCCTTTTCTACATAGGTGAGTTTCTACATTGAGTCTATGGTAATCAGTCTTGTCTTTCATTGACAGTGTTTGCACCTGGGCCTTTGTTCTGGCATGCAGCTAGTCTTTCAATATATCAAAGCATCCTGATTACTAATTGGGTTTATTGTGTGCTGCAATTTAATGCCAGTTTTAACAGACTACCTTAAATATTTAGGACCTAGAAAGCAATATGACATGGTTTCTCTACACTTCATATGAAGCAAATTCTGATAAGAGATCGTTTGATCAGGAAAGGAATACTGATAGTACCTGATCTAGAAGAGCTTTTCGTTTTCTCTCAAGCGTTTGATCAGAATCCTCAGCATGAGCAGAAGTCATCACCATCTGCATCTTGCCTGTTCTGCTGGGGCTTTGTTGTCTCCTCTGCCTCTGATATTCAGATGCCTTTTGGAGAAAATCACACTTGGATGACAAGACCCAGCAGCAGCTGTGCTCTTGTCTTCTCTGGTCCCAGAGATCACAACACAGCAGTCAGTAATTGCATGGGTTTTCCTGAATTAGCCAGTAATCATTCTCAAATGCCAAAGAACATGAGCTTGTAAGATTACTAAAAGAGTGCAAATTACAGTAATAAGCAACAAGACAGGCACTGAGAAATATGTTGGTGATTCGGAATAAGACAAAAACGGTTTGGAAGATGAATTCATGATGTACTCGCTCATTATATACATTACAGTGGGTACGGAAAGTATTCAGACCCCCTTAAATTTTTCACTCTTTGTTATATTGCAGCCATTTGCTAAA